CAGTGTTGTTAATATAGAGCAGTGTATGGCATTTGCTAGAAATACTGGATTACAGTTGACTGTATCAGATACGTTTATGGAATAAAGAACTCTTGTATTCATTTATGGATCAATATCGCATCACTACTTACATTCTGAGCTAAGAGTTTGAATTCAAATATATTGGTCAAAATTATCAAACTAGGGTACCTAAATTTCTAGGTAATAGAGACACTCAATGTTTTTTATAATCAATTTTTGAGTCAGCATTTTTAAAATTTTAATTTTTTCCAACAGCTCTAATATTGATGCTCCAGAAAGACTCTGGAATCTGCAGGTGCTCCAAGCCTCTGAAAGCCAAAACTTTTATTTGAGATTCATATGGATTTAGGTGACAAACTTTCTGCTGTCTGCTACTCTGTGTTTGTACAGTGCCTACCTCAATAGGGCTCTGGCCTTGGTGGGTCCCTAGGCACTACTGTAATAACCATAATTAATAATAATAATGAAGTAGCTTTAGGTCACCCCAGTTTTGGAATGTTGGTCATTGCCAGTATTCTATAGTGGCCGAATAGAATCCGTGTGGATACTGGGAACACTTAATCTCTTTACTTGAATCATTTTATTCTCTCGGCCATCTGTGTTTACATATCCTTAATCACTGGCAATTCTCTAGTTTTCCACCATCTAGTAATGAGGCCTTTAGCACATTACAGTGCTGCGGCCGATCACTTCCAGTGGGGGTTAGAATTGCTGAACAGCCTTCCAGCCTCATGGAGGATTGCCATTTGAGGCCTCTACATTGTGTTCAGCTTTTTCATTGAGATTTATCCTCTTTAATTTATTGCCAAGAACTACAGCTTTTTCTACCAGCCCACATCATCCAAATGTAGCAGGGGTTCTCAAACTGTGGGTCGGGACCCTAAAATGGCTGGCGTTAGACTTGCTGGGGCCCAGGGCCGAAGCTGAAGACCGAGCCCCACCATCTGGGGCTGAAGCCCTTGGGCTTTGGGTTTGGCTCCCCAGCCTGAGGAGGTGGGGCTCGAGCTGGCTCAAGCTTTGGTCCCCCCTCCTGGGGTCATGTAGTAATTTTTGTTGTCAGAAGGGGATCACGGTGCAATGAAGTTTGAGAACTGCTGAAATATGGTAATGTTGCTCCACTCCATCCTAGAGTAGCGCTCTCAATGAGCCCCTCATTGTGAAATTTAAGTGGTATCAGAATCTAAAGAAAGAATCATTTTAAAACTATCTAAACTTGTTTGTGTGTCTGACCATTGAGATGTAGACGTGATATTCTCATGCAACGGATGTTCCATGGAGTTATGGTATATGTTATCTTAAAGACCTGGCTAATTTGAGGAGACACATTTTTCTACTCAAGATGGATAATTGGGAGATTAACCGGGAAGATTCAGGATTAGCGATCTGAACGAAACGTTGTCTGGCTTTTAAGTAACTCCATTACTTTGATCATTTCACTGTCAACTGTACTTGCAATTGTTGAAATGTTCTCAAAACCCTGGGCCAGATTCAGCAGTGGTGTATTTCTGTAGAGTAGAATCTGCTTACAACAAGAGCGGAATTTCATCCCACATCTTTTTATAAATCCCTTCTTATAGTATCTTGATTTCAGCTGATTGCCCCGAGCACTGTGTCATCCAGCTGTCAGTTTATATTCTAGAATTATTCCATGCAGGACGGTGACAAGACCTCTCAGGAGTGGAACGGAATAGTCTGTGTGGCTTCCGTCATGCCATAGTGTTTCATCACAGCAGTTCCTGGTAATAGGAGTCATATGCTGTCTGAGAGGAAGTATGCTTCTTAAACGGTTCTTACTGGATCTATCTTTAAAAGCAACCTGGTCATTAAGGGTATTTCGCAAACTCACATGTCGTTCTAGGGATTCTGTGCCACTTGCCAGCTTATAAACTCCTTTCCGTGGTGACCCCTCATCCCTCCATGATGTTGTGGTGATTGTCATACTCACACTTTCATTCTATTTATCTTGTCACCCCAGTAAAAGATCAAATCTCCTCTTTGGTGTCCTTACATGTTCTCTTAGTTCTCACTAGAGAGAACATGAGACCTGATCCAAAATCCACTGAAGTCAGTAAGTCTTTCCACTGATCTCAGATCAGGTTCATGAAGCCTAGGGGTGGAATCCTGGGCCCATTGACATGAGTGGGAGTTTTGCCATTGAGTTCAGTGGGGTCAGGATTTCACCCTAGGTAGTTAAACTTTGTAACTCCAACTGGCGGTTCGAGCTCTGCCCCAGGGTGATTCATTGAACTTTCCCCACGCAGCTGTATTCAGTTTTAGCTGATTTATAGGAGATGCAATATGGTAATTCTTCATGGAGTTAGAGCCCTTCTTTAGCGTAATTCCCAAGTAACTGCCTTTGGGATGAGCCTTTTGAAGTCCTACCTGCTGTCTTTGGCAGTGGTATGATCAGTCAAGGGGCTTGAGCATGCTGGTACAAAAAGGGGGCTACTGGCACAACAATGTCTGGTCCTTTGTTGTTCTGCCAGAGCCTTGATTTACCAATCTTCTGGGCATAGTGCAACGTCCAACTTTTCACAGTTATTGTGGTAGAAATGGGGCTGGATTGAAAAATCTGCGGGGCCTTACCGTTAGGGGCCAATTCTAGAGAGGTCCCGCCTGCAACAGAACAGTTGTATTTCTCTCTGGTGGGTCAACTGGGGGAGATCATACAAGGAGTGTGCACCTCTTGCATGGCATGCACCCCAGCTACAGGGCGACTCCTATGGACAATACAGAGAGGTGGAAGGTGTGTGTCTGTGTGTGCATGCACATGCATATTAGAGGAATACAGAGGGCCCCAAAAGTCTGCCATTGTGGACCCTCCAGTCCCTTCCCCATTTTACATAGGGGCTTGGCAATCCGTCAGTGACACATACAGCATCCCTTCTGCTGGAGTAGCAGCTGCAGAGCAGCCCAGCAGCCTGGACAAAGGATGCCTCCTTCTCAGCACCAGCCGAGGTATTCAGATACTGGGAGAGGATTTAAAAATTCAAAAAGACAGTATGAGGCCCAGATCTGCACTAGCAGAGGGTGGCCTGGCTCATCTCATACATCCTTTCCATCTCGAGCTTCAGTGACTGTGAGCTATTCAGTTTTCCCTTCCTCTAACCCAAAGTCTTGCAGCTAATCTTTAATTCCACACCTTCCATTGTTGGTTTTACAGTAAACTAGAATTTTCCCAAACTGCCCCTTCCTGTGTGCAGAAAATATTTCCAGAAATGGTTGATTCCAAGTAGGCTGAGAAGGAGTAGACTGTAATCAGTAAGTGTATTATTGTTTATACAGTGCCATCTGAGTGCATGGTGGTGGACTTAAATATAGCGAATTATCTACTTCTCCCTTCAGAAGGATTAGAAGCATGGGATATGTTGCACACATCTACATGCTATGCGGTTTTCTTCTACCATCAGCTCTGTGGGCTAAATTCTCATTCCCTTACTTTGAATAGCACATTGCACCCTAAATTTTCCCATTGATTTCAGTGGGATTACTTATCAAGTGCCGTTCTATGTGAGAAAAGGTTCCAGAATCTAGTCCTATAGCCATTGATCACCAAGAATAAAATAGGAATTTATGCAGATTTTATTTTTTCATCTGCTAGAAATCTGGACTTCTACACTCAGTACATTTTGAATAAGTTCTCCCTCCCCCCTTCCCACTAATAATGCAAACATTTAAGTCAATTACCCACCTCACCATTCCATCCAAAACCCTCTTGCACATAAATAGCGATATTATTTGTCAAAACTCATACAAATAGGAAAGGACAGCTTCCAAACCTAATCATAAAGTTCTACACAATTTCTGTCCTGATAAACTAAGACACAGTGTACTTTGATGATCTGAGGAAAAATATGGTCCTACTTCTATAGCACAGCTGCTGTCATTGTTTTACTCTAATTATTAAAGGCAGTTGAACCCCAGGCCACCTCTGTGTGGGAGCAGCACTTAACGGCAAGTAAATAGATTCCTTGTCTCCTGGTTTAAAAAAAAATCTAAGCCTTGAAAAAATTAAAATGCAATTATTGAAGGTCTCTGCACTTCCCCTTTTCCTTCGCATTGTGCAAGATCCTAATTAAAGTGGAAATTTGATCCTCAGCATTTAGTTAGCTGCATGTTATTTGGGAAATTCTGCTTTGCATGCAAACACTTGGAATGTTTTTATGGGATTTCAGATTTGCCTGTCCAGCAGCGGTAGCCAAGGAAAAGTTTTGACCACACAGGGCCATGTTCCACTGTAGCACCCTCAGTCTTTCTACAAAAATCCCATTGATCTAACTGGGAGCTCACATTGCAGAGAGGTGAAAAATGCCCTACAGCCACTACTGGGGCCCAGTCCTATAAACCCTCACTCATGCGAGCAGCCCCATAGAAGCTAATGAGAGTACTCCTGTGAGTAAGCATTTGCAGGATCAAGTCCTAAATTTCACGAGATCATTAGAAGATTTTTGTCACCTCCATTAACTTTGTTCCTCATTGTGTATAGTGTGCCAGGTTTCCTGACTCTGACCCCATCAGTAAGCATGAGAATAAATGGGCAACAAAGGGAATGGTTAAGATCTTTCTAAGGAGTTCTGGTTGTATAGTTTAATTGTGTTTCTCTAACAGGATACTGTAGGTGAACAGAAAATTCCACTTAAAAGCCTGTTGAGGACACCCAGCGGTGCCCTGCCAGTTGCTACAGGTTCTATAGAGAAGCTCACCTGGACTTCTGAGTCTCTACTAATGATTAAATATATTTTCCAGCAAGGGGGAACGTGCCTAATTTGAATGGTTTCTATGTGACGAAAAAATAGGCTGGAATGTTCTGAACGACGATGCTGAACAAGATCATCAGATGAGTTTGTGAACAAATTGCTGTACTGTTCTCAAGTCCTGCATCGTTGTTTTACTACTTTATGGCTGACAGACTTCTCTGGGTTTTGAATGTGTGAGACACTTTGCCAGCACTGATGGGAATGTTCTCTCTTTTTTTGTAGGGATCGCTTACCTGGGAGGTGTATGCAGTGCCAAGAGGAAGTGTGTGCTTGCTGAAGACAATGGTCTCAATCTGGCATTTACCATAGCACATGAACTTGGGCACAAGTAAGAGTTGATTCTTAAGTTTCCTCCATTTACAGATGCCATATTTGTGTTGCTGCCTTGATTTAAATTCTCACAGGTGAAATTACTGGTTTGGTGTGACTGTTTATGATCTCCTAACTCCAGTTCAGTTCATCTCAGGAGCTGATAAACTGATGAACTGCTTAATTTTTAGGATGCTTTCTCGAGTAACCATTTCAGTGCACAGAGATCTTTATTGTTTGACCCGTCACACATACTTAAATACCATATTTAATGCAAATAGTAGAAAAAAACCTCATTAGTTGAGATGATGGATGATGATCCTTAGGGACCAATTCTATTCTCATTTACACTTGTGTAACTCCATAGACTTTAAAATCAGTGGATTTACTCCATATTTATATTGGTGTAACTGAGAGCAGAATTTATCTCTTATATACATAGGGCGAGACTTTGAAAAATGGGTGTCTAAAGTTAGGCTTCCAGATGCATATTTAGGCACCTAAACAATAGTCTGACTTTTCAAGGGTGCTAAGCACCCAGCAGTTCCTCAGTCCCCTTACTTAGGTGCCTAAATATGGACTTAGATGCCTACATTTAAGAGCCTAGTTTTTGAAAATGTTGGCTGTGGTGCTTTATATATTCAGAGTAATGTCCCAGGACGGATCTGGGCATAGGACTCAGGACTTCCCAGACTGTGTTCTCGAGTGCTCTGCCTCGTGATGCTACTAGTCTCTTGTAGCATTTTTGATAAAGTCCAGGTTTACTCCTATAGAATAGTCTTCATGTAACATGTTGAGATGTAGGGCGGAAGATATGTATGAAAAGTAGAGTTGGACCCAGCCAGATTCAGATCTAGATCCACGCTTTCCCAAAATGTAGGAGTATTCAGATCTAGTTTTAATTGGTTCCAACAGGAGAGTCAGCTGTGAAGTTCCCATCCAGATCCAAATTTCCATCAAAGTTCAGGTGTGTTTCAGTCCAGGTGGTGGTCACACCTTTCCGTGTTAATTTTTTTTGCAGTCATTTGGGCAATCAAGTTGACTATTCACTGCAGTCAAATTTCAGAATCAGATGTGAAATTGTTCATGGAAATTGAATTTTAGATTTGAATAGGTTGGAGGTGCTTTCACACTCATTCAATTGGGACAGAGATAATAATTAATTTATCAGATCAGTCACAACTAACTGACACACCTTGAACGCTGATTCTGGGATAGTCGTAAGGAACATGATCAATTCATAGTTAAACCAAGATTTGCAAAACAAAATCTGTCAGATACTTTCAACTAGCAAAATCTCAATCTGCTTGTGGTGTCCCACGTGCAAGATAAGAGACTAAAGTCACTGGATAAGTCATTTGTATGAGCTATTCATTCAGCTCTTCCCTTTGATAATGGACTTGTAATTTGTTCAGATTTCCACAATCTGTTTAAATCGGGTTTAACCCAAAGCAAGTTATCAACATTTACTGCCTAACAAAATTAAGGATCACATGCATGCATGTGGGCTGTGAACCTTTTCTCCCCTTCCATTAAAATCAAAATGATTGCATTGTGTCTCAGTTACCCTCTATAGTGTTTAGGATCAAACGTTTCTGCAGCTAGCCGCTCTCCTAAATGACAGGAGTGTCTTGATCAAATCCCACTGTTGTGCCATTTAGGAAGAATCTGTTTAGAAATTCTTGACCGAAGGCTTATAGCCTCCTACTACTTATGTTCCTGTTGAATATTCATTACCGACAATAACAGATATTTGGTAGCTAAGCTAAAGCCAGTAAATCCTGTTAAGATTCTGGTCAATCCTGTTCCACTGTATATAATTGTTTAATGGAATTGTGTGGACAATGACAACATTAAAATGAACCTCGTATTCACCCTCCAATGGCACCAAAGGCACCTGAGCCAAACTGAGGTAGTTTTAGCAGGAGAAAGGAAGAATGTTGGGTTTTCTTTTATTTAAACCACATGCCAAGCTGTTAAACTGATTTGAAACCTAATTTAAGGTTAATTTATTAAGGGAAATTCAGCACTCATTTTGCAATGGGCCACAACCAGAAGGAGAGGATACTTGGACTGTAGGGAGTCCAGCTATGTGAAAAGGGGAGCAAATGGCCCACCCCTTGTGTTTACCAAGGTTCCTACTAATAGTGGTGTGAGGATTCATATATGTATGTATATCAAACTACTAAGTCCATTTTGTTTTGTGAGCACCATTTTGGCTGTAAGACTGTATGGTCTCTTCCCTGTTATCTTTTTGCCTTCATCTTGTACTGCAATTCCAAGACAGAGGGAGAACAATGCAAAACGATCAAAGGTCATTAACTTGGAGGGTCTCCTATTCAAATGCAAGCATCCTTGGACAGCGAGCTTCCTTTCCGGTGAGCCAGTAACCAAGCAACAAATCACCTGAGAGCAGACCTTGATCGCTTATGGGGGGGGGGCTTTGAGACAGACCAGAAGCGTCACCTGATGCAAGGGATTGCAACTTTATAAAAGGAGGATTCTCTCACCAGCCATTTTAGAAAGAAAAGGGACCAAAAATTGGCAATTCAGACCAAGGGGAGAAGGTAGAGAAGAGGGTTCTAGGACCCTGAAGAGACACTGTTCACATCCCAAAGGGGTTTGGGTGCAGGGTTTTGTTGTTTTTCAGTAGCTCTGTGTATTGCCTGTGTTGTCTGAGTGAAGTGTACGTACAGTAAAACCTCAGAGTTATGAACACCAGAGTTACAAACTGACCAGTCAACCACACCCCTCATTTGGAACCAGAAGTACGCAGGCAGCAGCAGAGAATTAAAAAAAAAAAAAAAAAAAAAAAAAAAAAAAAAAAGAACAATGTTTAATTTTAAATTAAAAAAAAAAAAAAAAGAAAATTAAAAAAAAAAAAAAAAAAAAGATTTGACCAGTTAAGGAAACTGTTTCTGTGCTTGTTTCATTAAATTAAGATGCTTAAAAGCAACTTTTTTCTTCTGCATAGTAAAGTTCCAAGCTGTATGAAGTCCATGTTCAGTTGTAAACTTTTGAAAAAACAACTATCCCGTTTTGTTCAGCGTTATGAGTAACCTCCATTCCCGAAGCGTTTGTAATTCTGAGGTTCTACTGTATGTGTTTAGAAACCTCTTTGCAGAGGCGGTGTTCCTTGAGGACGCTGTTGCTTGTCCTCAAAGAGTTAAACGGTAAACTGGAGTGACCGCAATGCGGGAGCTCGTCGAAAAGGTTGCTTAAGGAGACTTGAGGCCCGGGCGGTTTAGCACTGCTCTTTTTACCATTTTCAAGGCTTTTCGCAAGGAAAAAGGCTAGAAAGTTTATTCGTTTGGTTTTTAAATAAAAGCTGAGATTCTCCTTTCTGTTCCTTAGTCCCCCCCCAGATTGAATTGGGTGGGCTGCAGCCATCTTCTTTCCAGGCCAGCTCTGTCACCAACGCTGCTTGCTGGGGCAGCCTGTGGCTTCCTGGAAGGAATGTGGGGATGTCTCCTAGTCAAGCATTAGCTGAGTCCAGCGCTGCCTCGGTTGTGAGACGACAGCCTGAGGTGGTCTGGCTGGAGGCCATAAAGTGTCAAACGCCCTTGAGAAAATGAAGAGAAATAAACGGCAAAAGGCCGAATTCAGTCTGTTGCCAGCAGAGTGGACACCACATGGTCTCGGACTCAAAGCTGAAACAGATGAGGATGAAAACAAGCAAGAGGTAAAAAGCCGATGTAGGCCAAACCAAACAGCCTTTTATTTGGAACCATCATGCATGTGGAGCTGGGCGAGAGAGGATGTAAGGCAAGGCAGGTCTCTGTCACAGGGTCAATGTGATTATTTGCTTTAGAAACTCCTGCTAGTTCATGTTGCCTGGTTAAAATGACCTGAGTGTATGCACTTGTCTGTTGGGTACTTGTAAAGTATAGCCTGTGTAGTGAGGATCAAGAGACAGGCATTCTTTCAAGGGTGCTGTGCGCATAGAGAGTCTTCAGTGAATGTTCCATTTGTAGGCTGGTGTGTAAGCTGATAGACTTGTAAAGTAAAATATTGGCCCAATACGTCTAGCACAGCATCCAGCAGGAAGATCCTGTCATGCAAATGACCATATAAAAATAGGAGTCGGGAAGGATGTCAAAACACTTGCAGGCCTGGAGGGGAGAAGTGGGAGGGAGGACTTGTCATGAGCAACTCCAAGATCTGTACAGAATTACATCCCAAGGCAGCTTGTATTTGCAAATTTGAGGCAGTATAATGTAGGCATACAAGCAAACGTCCCAATCCCCAGAACAGGAAGTCGAAAAAGCAATTATCCAGATGTGTGAACTATGGAGATTTGCCTGTAATACATATTACAAATTAAAAATTTAATATGGAGCCTGGGGACAGGCCAGAGTAAGTAGGAGACAGATTGGAATGTTCAGGTATCTCTGCCGGAGTGGACAATCGGCTGGTGTGAGGCCATTTATTTTCCTTAAATGTAGTGGTTTGTGGCTCCAATCAGCACTGAGTGGTTGCTTTGCAGCCAGCCAAAGAACTGTGTAGAGCAGCAAGAGCGTTTCTGGAAATGTCATAATCATGATTTTGGAACCTTTGCTGCTAATCCTCTGAGATTTATCCTAAGATTATGAAATTTAGGATGCGGGCGGTGGAAGCTGGGAAGGCCTTTCTTGAATTAAAAAAAATGTCCTTCCTCATTCTCTGCAGCAGCACAGTTACAGCCTGACCTAAAATACACCAGCTCTCCTGACTTAGGCAGGGGAGTATCATTTATATTCAAACTGTCCCACCATCCCGGCTGACTTGAAGCATTAACCCCTTTATTTATAACCGCTCCCACCTGGGCTTGTTTTCCTTCCCTTCCCTTACTCTTCTGACCATTGTAATGATAGCAGAAGCAGAGCTTCCTTCATGTATTCCTATAGAGCTGACTTTGAAAATCACAAGCAAGGCACTGACCTACCAGTGGGAGCCCCAAAGCGTTTTATGGTGCTGACAGCACGATCAATCCAGGGAAAGAAAGATAGGCCTTGCAAATGTTCTTGTTAATATTCAGAG